GAGCAAAGGAAGTTGATCATCTTCAATAAAACACTTCGGTAACAGTAATGTATTATGGAGCAGGACACCCCCCACCCCCACAGCCTTTGTTCTAACCCTAAGGGCACTTAATGGTTGACCATACTGGGAACGTTAATACAGAGACCCTTATTCTAAAGTGTTACCCACTGGCAGACTGTCTATGAGTTCTGGAGAATCCCAGAAGGGTGGATGTGCTCTGGCTCGTTGTTGGTGCAAAGAGATCCACCCCAGAGGATCGAGCAAACTGCAGCAATGATCTGCCTCTTCCTATCCGCTCGAAGAAGTTAATGCAGAATGCCCTTCCAAGAGTCCCCCCGTCGGAGGTGCCCCAACAGCACACACACCCTCTACCCAGCCCCACCCCCCAGCCTGCCCCTGGTGCTACCAATATTTCTTATGGGTCGCCTTCAGTGACCAGCGTAACCACCACCACCAATGTTGTTGGAAAAGAAACGTTGAAACAGGGCTGGGCGATATGCCCTAAAATCAATATCACGATATATTGAGGATTTCACCTCGATAATGATAAATGGACGTTAACTACAGGTATGTGCAGAAACAAAAGTTGTCCACTAGATGGGGCTGTCACATCTATTACGTTGAGTTACATTTTTACGTGACTCAAGGTGGGACAGCTTCTTAAAGGGACATGAACATTGCCAACCTACACACATCTTTTCATTTTCTTAAATCAAGTTTATTGACATGGGAAAAATTCTCGATAAGAGTCTTAAAATTCGATAATGATAAATTTTTGATTTATTGCCCAGCCCCGCGTTGAAACAAACTTTTCTTTAAGAGGAAAAAAGTTATATAAATTTTTTATTACTTTATTTATTTTTCTTAAAAAGAGGGCTGATGTTCCTTGAAAAAAATTCAAAGGACCAACCCCTATCTTCAGGTTCTCTTCTAAGCCACGCCTCTAGAATTCAGAAGAATGCTGGACGCAACAGTTAGTCCCAGCATTATCTTACGTTTTTGACCTGTCGCTAGAACCTTTTCTGTCATGTGCCCCTTTATCACAGATTAAGCTGGGAAGACTAGGCTGGAAACCCCCTCTGCTACTTCTGATCAGGCTAAGTAATCGTATAAAAATTTAGTATGCTAACTCTATAGCATAGCAGCTAGTTACGCAAGCGCTGGATTTACTTAGCTGCTCCAAGCAGAGAAACCGCAAGTTGTGCACTTTAAAAACGGGACTTACGCAGTGATAGGATGAGGTTTTTCAGGATTGTACATTTTGGATTTGATTGACAATTTTCCCTTTTTTTTTGGCAAAACACTTAATTTATTGGTTGCCTTCAGTGTGTGAAGAACATTTTAAACAATGTGGTAACAAGTGCTCCATAAAAAATATCCTACTCCAACTTTAAAAGCACCCCGAAGAGACAGATGAGTTATCATTTTGTTTACCACAAGATAAAAACTAAAAATCCTAAAAATGCATTATAGTTGAGTTGTTTGATTTTAATAAGAGAGTACCAATACCAAATGTCACCATCTGTATTTTGGTGCTTCGTACATTCACTTTTAGCTGGTATTCAGTGACTGGACCAATTCAAACTGTGTGTGTGTGTGTGTGTGTGTGTGTGTGTGTGTGTGTGTGTGTGTGTGTGTGTGTGTTTGTTTGTTGATCAAGTCAAAAGATTACAAAAAATTAAACTAATCAAAAATAAATGGCTCCTAAAATTTAAACACTTCAATCATTTGTTTCTCCTTGCGTCACAAGTTTCACTTTCCCTGAAAGAATAATGAACATGAGGATGGATTCATGTAGCGTAAACAAACACTCTTCAGAAGCAGAAAGATGGAGCTTCTCAGGTTTGCATGTGTGAACTAAAGAGTGCTAAGTCATGGTGACGAGGCAGAAAGACCAAAGTGCTTCGTCAGTGATCAGGTCCTCAGAGGAAATCTGGTACAACGTTAGCATCTTTTATTATCTTGTAATAGAGATCTTATGTTATTTCTGTGAATGGCTTTCCATGTGTGTTAGCCTGTAGCTCTTGTGTCACCATTCTCCGTAAGCAGCAGCAAATACAGCGGGATATAAACTATTGTTCCTCAGAAACTAAGTAGATTAGAGGGGTGAAATACTTGTGGATTATATTCCTTCACTTTTTTTTAGCACAAAGTTGTTGCTCCAGCCAGAGTTCTTATGTTGGCCTGCTTAAGAGAACAGGAGTCGGTTGTTTAAAGAAATATTGGTGAAAGTGGAAGTGCTGATGTTCGAGAAGCTGTGGGATGCTGTAAGTTTAGCTGAGGAGATGCAGAAAGAGAAACACACAAAAATGTCTGCATCTCCAAAAAAATTATCTGCGCCAACTTTGCACAGCTGGAGCATGCTAATGTATGGTTTTGCTTCAGACCCCTGCTTTATTAATAATAAAGGGATAAGCAGGTGAAACTGGAGGGAAATTTGTTCAAAGTAAATGACAAGAAATGAACAGAAGGTTTGGAGGCCTGTGTGTTTGTGTGTTTAAAAATAAAAACAAAAGGCATTTAAGGGAATTGGTGTTAATGAGCGATTAACAACTCTGTCGTCCAGTATGTTTTATTGAGGATGATGTTCTGATCAACGTCAGATTTCATAAACACAAACCAGGTCCATGTAACCGATGTTGTTGCCCTGTCTTCTTTACTAGCATGTCTTCATCCACGCGCTCCCCGCTGCAGCTGCTCTCGGGACAACATTCATGTGCTGTCGCGGTCGGCCGGTAGCATCAAAATCCATACCGGTGCCTAAATTTTTATCAAACCGTACACCGGTTACATCGTGCATTACTTGTTTTCACCAGACAGATGAGGAGCAAAGATCAACAGACCTTTTGCTCTCTAACCCATAATTCTTAAATAAAGATGTTCTTTTTATATGGAGACTTGGAGAGGGTCATAGGGGTAAAGATCTGTGCAGCCATGGATCTACCCTTAATTTTTCACTAGTTTTGTCTTCCTTTGTTGAACAGAAATTATTATAACTGGAGACTTATTGGATTACCACTTATCTTGATTCTACAAGTCTAGACAGTTCACTCCCACAAATATTTCCTCATTTGGTGAGGACACCAACAGGATTTACAATCACTAATAGCTGCTCCACTGATTTTGTAACTGTAAAAGCGACTATTGCTTAAAAACATTACAGCATAGAATCAAAACACATTGTAGGATTTTAAAAAATCAATTTGAAAAGAATGTGAACACACACACACACACATTGCATGCAACAGTCACCACATTCCCTTGTTGAAATGTTCAAAGGTTTAAGTTGTTTCTGTTTGTTTCCGAGTCAAAGTACACTGAAGGTGAACACGACTCAAACGAGCAAATTCGGGAATTGCAGCAGTTGGTTTGTGTGTGTGTGTGTGTGTGTGTGGGGGGGGGGGGGTCTTTAACGTCGTGCTACAGAAGGGGACATGGCATTCAACAAAGTTTGACCCAAAGCACGGACACAGTTATGTTCTTGGTAAAGGTGGAGCCTCTTTAAGGATGTTTATCTTTTTCATGTTGTTATTTTTAATTGGCTCTCAACAGTAGAGGTCTGACATGAATGAACAAATATGAATGAATGAGTTTTGAACTTTGCACGGTAACGTCATGGGCGTGTTCTCACATCACCACGCTAACAAAGCAAGAAAATAAGCAGATGTCTAATGTTGAAATCACAAAAATGGTACTAAATATTTAAATTGTACTCATTTAAACCCTAAAATATTAAAGTATGAACATTAAGAAACTTGTTCTTGGAGAAAGACTAAGGGAATTCCAGGGGAACAATCATGTCTGCAGCGAGGCCTGAGGCCGTCTGCGGCCCTGGGGGGGATTTTGTGCGTCCCCGCTTTCATTCTTAGAACGTCTAGTTTTCTAGCTTCAGCTTTTCACTAATATGTCTAATTTAGGCCTTTTGTCAGTACAAATAAAAAAAAATCATAACATTGTTTTAACATGAAAACATGAATCTCATTTTGTGGCTCATGAGGATTTTTAATTTGATTTTAAATCTCATCATGAAAGATCTCTCCAAATGTCTTAAAAGTTTATTTTCAACTATGTGATAAATACATTTATTTTAAGGAAAAGTATCTGTACTAAGCAAATGTCTCCAGTTTGACTCTTTGACTTTATTATAATAAAAAATGTCTTTACCGTTTTATTAATTCTCTGAAAGTTCAATAAACTTTTCGTATTCTGTTGTCAGCCAGCTTCTAATGTCAAGCTTAGTGTTATTGTTGGAGCTGGGCTGATTTTAATGATGCTTTGGCATGCTAACGTAAAATGTTCGGTGTGATGCGTGTGAAAAAAGGCAGATTTAGAGAGTTTTTGTTGCGTCTAGAACCAAACTAATGCCTTGTTAGATGTTATTTTTGCTGCCCGTCTCTAGTCCCTACTAATGAAGCGCCCTGAGGGACACCGTCAGTTCTGCTAAAAGATTTTCATGTTATCTTGGTGCAGCGCTCAGGGACACCACACCTAAACCTGCTCGGGGCTTACATTCATCCTGGGAGGTGATGCTCTCCATCATTAAAGCAAGAAGCTTCTGAGAATTTAGCACCAGAGAAACTGCTGGAGGACAGGCGGCAGTCCAGCAAACAACGTGAAGCAACTCTGTTACATCAGGAGTCAGTTAATTCCTATTAAACTGTTTCTCAACTCCATGCCTCAAATTAAACAGTCCAAAGTTCAGACGTCGGGTAAACCACACAGCTTTTTGAACTTCTCTGTGACCACCTGCTGAATTGGTTTCTAATGACACTCCAATTTCTGGAGTTTTCTAATTTCCTTTAAACTTGACACATCAGTTTTCCAAACTCTTAGAGTTGAATTAATCCTTCTTGGCAAATGTGTCCCTGTTATGAACGGGCCAATATGGCAGTATTGTGAGTTTACACCTCAAAAGACCCAGCGCAGCGTTCAGTTAAAGCACATTATTTATTATTATTAGCAGTTTGGTAATGTCTGTGTTTTTGTTTTGTTCCTACCAGAACTGACTGGTCCAGCCAAGGTGGTGAAAGCAGGGAATCCTCCCAAAGGCAGGCGTGGAGGAAAGGTAAGCCTTTCAGTTAGAAAGTCTTAGAAAAAGATGATTTTAATGATGATGTGTAATTTTATTTTATGCTGAAATATTAAAAACGGTAAGAAAAGTTGTAGCTGGATATTTATCTAACCAATAAAACCAGTTGTCATCAACCATTGCACTCAAAAAATTTCTAAAATGTTCAAACCTCCCATTACTGTCATGACCCCGGCTTTCCACCAAATGCGTAATCGTTGTGTAATGTCTGCACAGCTCAATACGCAGCTAGTAGCCGTCATTATTGTCTGTGGGTGTGTTTCGCCTGGGCAAGCAGCGGTGCGCAATAATTAAGTTTTTATCTAGAGGTGGCTCATATCCTATCATCCACAATATTACCAGTAAATATTTTTTGTTCAGAGAAAAAAAATCTCTTGTTAAGCTAAATTCATGATGCATTATCATCTCATGCATTCTTTAGTCAGGATTACACTCACTGTTGTCTTCTATGTAGGGCTGCAACAAACGATTATTTGGATAATCGATTAATCGGATGGGGTCTCGACACGATTAATCGATTAATCGGATTACATGGGGAAATTTTTAAAAACTGCTAGGGAAACGTTATTTCTCTCCTTCCTTCACTTTATTTAACACAACATTATTAGAAAACAGTTCAATAGCAGAAAAACAACATGCCATCACCTAAATTGTCTTATAAGGTGTATAGACAGAGACCCTAAGCTACATCTATCTGTGACCTAAAATGCTTGGTCCAAGTTAAACAGCTTAAGGGCAATTCTCATCTGTTTTGTTTGATCTCATCTGTTGACATTTATTTTAAATGTAATTAAACATAGGCTGTGAATTTATCAAAATTGATCACTATTTCCAAAAATGACTGAAAAAATACCAAATAAAACAAAAGTAAATGAATGCCATCCTCCTTGCGATGATGCCCTGGGCAACTGCCATAAAGTCACATCAGGAAATGCTGCTGATCATTCCAATGATCCCAAATAGACTCACATTAGGCCACATGAAAGCAACTGAACCCAAAAATATATTAACCAGTATATAACTGCACTCTCACACAACACGCCTGCAGCAACAGTTAGGACTCCTCCCTCCCTTTTAAAAGCGTTTTTGCTTCTGAGGACATTGTGGTTGTAAAACCACATGCTAGTAGTCTGGCCCCGGTGTGATCAACCAGTTTCTGCGGGAATGTGACGGCGGAACCAGGGCCAGGTTAACACTTTGTTGTACCCTGGGCAACAATATTCAAGGGCTCCATCATCACGACCCAAGGATCACCATAATGTGGTCACATACAGAATATTTTACTGTAATATGCAGTAAATATACTCAATACTTGAATGCCTGACAACACGTAACCCGCCCAGAGTAACCTTTGACCCACCTCGTGTGGACTGACCAATGAGGAGAGGGTCTTAACTTGAGGCCCTCTCTTCATTGGTCAGTCTGCATGAGACTGACTCTCAACTGACGTTCAGTCGTAGGCAGCGAAGCGTCTCTGTGCAGTGCAAAAGCCCGGGTGGACAGTTTGTTTAATGTAGGGTGACCATATTTCCATTTCCAAACAAGAGGACAGGGGATCTGTGCCTATGACGTCACACTATGGCAACGCCACACAAACCATGTTGGGACCCATTTTTTGTAAGAACTAAATTAATATCAGATTCTGCCAATTAAAGGGCTCTAAAACAATTCATATGTAAATATTTTGCATATTTAATGCAAAATCTAATTTTTCTGCTTTAGTGTTGCAACAAGGTTTTATTAATAATAAATTACTATACCTTTTGTTTTACTACAGCATCGGTAAGCTTCCTGTGCACAGATTATTAAGGATGCTTGTTTCAACTGTGAGATTAGACGATAGGATCAATGAAAAAATAAGTTGTCACAAACTCCATGGAAACTTTCAGAGAATCCACAAATAGTGGCTTTCAAATGGTTTTGTTACTTTTTGCAAGTTTATAAAATAAGCAGATGAGACAGCATGTCTGATAATTTAGTTTTTCATCTGATAATATTAGAGCATGTCAGTAATGTCTGAGGGGCTTTTATAAACACCATATAACTAACACTACTGGAGAGGGCATGAATTACACAGAGGCTTCTGGGGAGCCCAGTTATGGGGGGGGGGGGGGGGGGGGGGCATTTTGCCTTGGCCCCCAAAATGTCTTGAAACGGCCCTGGGTGTGTGACTGAGTTTTGAAGGTGATCTGAATTGTATCAGATGTATAAATATGACATGTGTATAACTTATTGTTTTTTACTGGTAAAAACGTGTAGTGGTGATAAATCTACCTACATTTTACTTTTCAACACTTTGTTTTGTTTTCTTGTTTTTATTGAACTATTTTCCTGTCCTGTCTGTCTCTCATCTTCCTGCATCTCCTCTTAATTCTCCAGAAAATCTGTTGCCTGGATTCTTACCTTTTCACCTCATCAGTTACTTTTGAGCAGGTCAAAGGGATCTCCTGACCGAAAAGCGCAGAGCGCGTTTTCGATGCTGCGTGAGGTGACATCACCACAGCACAGGTGATGAGCTCCGCAGTAGCGCGCTTCAGGCACAAATAAGACAGAAAATAGAGAACATGTGCGGACATGAACGATCGTGTGCTAATTATAGTTTTTTGGTTGCGCCACTTTGAGAATGGACCGTGCGCTGGAAGCAGCTGCCTGGATCGCTGTGCAACAATGCGGAACCGGTTCGCAGCAGCTCAAGTCTGCCGGCTCTCCCTCGCGCTGATCTGCGGCTCTCCCTCGCTCTGATCTGCCGGCTCTCCCTCGCGCTGATCTGCGGCTCTCCCTCGCGCTGATCTGCCGGCTCTCCCTCGCGCTGATCTGCGGCTCTCCCTCGCACTGATCTGCGGCTCTCCCTCGCGCTGATCTGCGGCTCTCCCTCGCGCTGATCTGCGGCTCTCCCTCGCGCTGATCTGACTTGCTCTGGTCTGCGCGCAACGGCGGGCGGGAAGGGGGGGCGCTTTTGGAAGAGTTGTGCGACACAACGAATCGATGACGCAATTCGTTGCCAACGCTTTTAGTAATCGATTTTCATCGAATTTATCGATTCGTTGTTGCAGCCCTACTTCTATGTGTCCCTCACTGCTCTCCGTAGCTGTTTCCTGATTATGCGGGGGAGAGGGTTTGCACAATGTTCCGGTTGGCATCCGCTGTGAAAAGGCTCGTTAAAACACACACAAACGACTCAGAATAATAAAAGTCAGAAAGCTAAATGCAGCATTTAGAGCAGAACATTGGCCCAGAGGTTCCCTGATCGAGCAGACTTTTGAGCTAGTGGCTAATGCTAGCAGATAGCCGCTATTATAAAGTATGGTGTTGTTGAGGGTCTGACCTCATGAGGAAATTACTATGCAGTGATTTTCTCCAAAATGACTGTGCTTAAATTGCTCTGAAAAGCAAATAATCACATCAGTGCCAAGAAACTTCATTTCCCATGATGCTTTGCACACGGAAGCATTGGGTGATGTCACCGCCTAGTACCAGAAACACGTTCTGCGCATGTGCGGGAAGCCGTGGAGCTTTCCCCGCGAACTAAGACCATAAATCTTCAGCAGAGACAAAGAAACCTCGTTCTTTTGCCCAGGATACCTGGCGGTGAGGACACGCTTGTCGAACGCTCCGACTTCTTTGAGCACGCGGAAGCTCTAAGAGCCAAGTTGAGCCCACGGGACCGCTGATCTGCTCGTTTCTGCTCCCCTCCAGCTGATGTTTGAGGACACAGAACCAGCGAAGGGAAACAACAACTCCATCCAGCTCTCAGAAACGCTGTAAGTTGTCAAACTCAGCCCAAAAGGAACTTCGTTTTCTTTGTGTCCAGCCGTGGAGGAACACTCGTGGAGCCAAACAACGGAGAAAGCATCAAACCGGCGGATGACGCTGAAAACTGCGGAGAAACACGGAGAACCGTCAAATCAAAAGGGGGAGGGACGCCTCGCTCTTTTGGTGATCAGAAAACTCATTTTTCTCTCATTCTTTTCTTCTCCCGTTTCCTCTATAGTCCAGAATAAGCAATAAAACCGCGCTATTGCTTAAAAAAAATAGCTTCGTGTTTTCCTCTTTCGTTCCAAATTCGTCCTTCGGGTCATTTTGAAAGAATAAACTGCTTATTAATCATTGTTTGGTATCTTTAAATGTTCGGCCATGGCCAGGCTGATAAACTAAGGATATTAACTCGTGATTAATCTTTTGTGTTGTTGCATGATCCTTTGAAATGTTTTGAGTGATTTAAGGTTAAGTTACTACTGATTCTAAGTGCTTTGGAAGTTAAAGTGCAAGTTGCCACCCACACTTTAGCCAGACAAAGGAGTCAGCCATCTTGTATTCAAGACTCCATTTTGAATCCATACACACGCACACACACTACTCCTTTGTGAGAACAAAGGACCCCATTCCTACATCCTACATACACACAAAACACCTTGAACATTATTTTGAATATACATCCTTTTATTATATCACATGGTTATTATTCATTTATGCCACTGTTTATTCATTTGACAAATTGTTAATTAAACGTTATAAAATTCAGATTTTCGTCTCCAGTAGCTTTGTTGTGTCGAAGAGAAGTCTCTGCTCCAAGGATTCTACGAACTTCAAGAAAGACTGATAAGAGTTTTGGATTCAATTTTTCCCCGGAAAAAGGGGAATGGTGCCCCGTATATCTAAGAATATCTTAATTAATTAATAAATCAGTAAATATTCCCATATTTACAGAATTTATTGAAGAATCCAAAAGTAAGTTGAAGCTTACTAATTGTTCGCTCCTAATAACCCCAACATTTTATTGGTGCGGCCGTGTGAGGCTTGGATACACAGAGATTTCTATCCGGCACAAACAAATAAATCCAAAGAGCTTGAATTAAAAATAATCAGTTGTTCAGCCTTGAACCAGCAACAGAGTGGTGCTGATTTCGCTGAGCAGGAAGCTGCATCGAACTCTCACCAGTAACTCAGTGCTTCTTTAAAGGTGCAACGTGTAAATT